CTTATTTTGATGTAGTGTGGTGTACTCCTTTGAGCGACATTCGTAAAAACTCTTCACACTCCACACTGTCGTTCTCACCCTCTCCACTCTTGCGTTGGAAATATTGTACTTAGTCTGCCATATTGTTAGCAGTTCTCCTAGGTCTTGTAACAGTCTCTCTCTTGCCCCATAAGATCCATCTGCTATACCCCTGGTTCACGTATTTCTCTCGACCCCTGCCATCCCATCTGTGCTACTCGAGGCGTTATTCGCCCTTCTGCGTCTGAGTGACTAATTCGAGGCTAAAGCCTCTGAGTATGTCTTATATATATATATATATATATAATAACCAAATTACTGAATTAGCTTGATCTTTATGACATCCATTATTAAAGACTCAAAGTTTAATCGCCACCAGGAAGCTGTAGGAGACCAACACTATTTATCAGCATTTACTTTGTAATGTTATTAAGATAGCTGCTTCCCCCGTTTATCTATCGTAAGTTGTACTGAATAAATTAGTTTCTTTAATCGACTAAAATTCGTCTGATTTTATCAGTCTATAGGATTACTCTTGTCAACAAAATCTCAGTTTTTGACACTTTAAAATGGTTTAGTGTTGAGGACTATCAGCTTTATACCTTACTTAACTATATATAGAAGTTCAAATTAAGTAAAAGGAACTTTAAATTTTTTATCACTATATAAACAAAGTCTATGATTTTAAAGTTAAGGAAAATATTATTCCTTTGATATAAATGTTTACATAACTACTAATTATTCCATATTACATCATAAGGATTTATTTTAATCCTAAAGTCGGCAACACCAAGCAACGGAAATATGGGGTTTCTCAATATATCGCAAGAGCATTAGAATTTGTAAAACAGTTCATCCTTTGATTCTGCTTTTTATTTATCACTATGTCCCTGATATTAACTTTTAGCACAATCATTGGCCACTTGAAGCTGATTCACTTTTTAAAACCCTCTAATTGACTACTTAAATGTTTATTTCCTATCAATAAAATGTTAGTTTGTCTTTTTTCCCCAATATATATGATGAGCTGCTCATTCTGGAGCTTTTGTCAGGATTGACATTATCAGTTCTACATGACAGTTACAAGCAGGCCTATTAGATGATATTCCCAAATGCTTCCATAGATTTGGTTTGCCCAAGAAGCCTGTTATAATCCTTACCCCTTTTATATTTGTTTTTTTTATTAAGATTTAGCAAGTGAGATAATCCTCACAGATACCTTGTCGATGTTAAGATTAAATAAATACATTTGTTTGGCAGGAGTTTGGGCATTGGCTGTTTATCTTCTCTTGTTGGCTTGGGGAGTATATTAACTTTTGTATCAGGATTTTATTAAGCTATTTATTTCAAGTATATATATTAATACAGATTTATGACCATTATTGATCTTGTCTGGATGAATTCATTTCTCGAAATCGAATTCTAACTCCTGGCAATGCTCTCCCCCCAGAATGGCTTCCTCATTTTTATGCTTTTTATTATAATTAATTAATTCAATTTAACCAATTTAAATACAACTTTTATCCTATTCACACATATTGTGCAATACGAAGGGGTCTGTCACTGAATGTGCCTAACTGTCAAACGCTGAAATCGCGACAATTTTGCATCCACGCTTTGGTACATTCCATAGTGGAGACTGGCGATTATTCTATAGAAACGTTTTGTCTACAGTGTGCATCCATTTGATTTTTCTTCTTAGGATTAGGATTTCTTTCTTCTAAACTTTCTTATTTGATTTGGACTTTTTATGTCCATAACTAATTATATTTTTATGGATTAACTATTGCCACAAAATTCGTTGAAGGATGACCTTTCGATACTTTTTAACAATATCTTGATTTTTTAAATCACGGTTTATTTGTCATAACCTTTGAATTAGGATTTTCCTCGTTAATATAGTATTCTCGGATACTTATTTTCGCACTGGTTCAATAATGATAATCTCATTGACTCAATGTGTCACTCGAAGATTCTGATCGCAAACACATGCTCTTGTTTTATACATGCATACATGCATACATACATGCATGCATATATCAGTGAAGTTGATGCATGTAAAGGGAACTAGTGAGGTCACAACTGTTTAATAAATTGGCGTATGAGCATGCAATGGGAACGCTTGTTTTAGGTTTATGGATGCGTGCGCATTGTTTGTGCAATACTTATGAGTCCGTCGGTATATTAGGGCCCAAGCGTGACTCATGTTATTCAAGCCTCTTTATCTAGCTCAGTGACTCTTCTTGCTCTCCCTTTACCTCCCTAATTCTGTTTAATAGCCGGAGACCATTTTTGCTTTATTCCTATTCGGGATGCTTGTTTTGATAATTTCAATCGATTTCCCTATCTTGGCCGTGAACTCTTCATATCCTGTAAACGGTTGGGTTTAAGACAACCATCTGATGTTTTATAGTTGCTCAGTCATAGTTCGATCATCTTTACTTTCTGGACTCATAAGCTTCTACATATTTGGTGTTCTGATAGCTTCTTGTGTGGGCCGACAATTCTCCTTATCATGTTTTATCGCATAAGCACAAAATCGTATGACGACCTGATCCCCAGAAGTGATTTGACCTAATTTTCGCAACTTAGTCGTATTGTCAAGAGGACATAGATGAATGTCATCTTGTCCGCAGTCCATAGTATCCACTATGATTTCTAGCGTTGGCTCGTGGCCTTGGCATATTCCCAGGCCCTTTACCATCATCCTCAGTGTGCCTTGTCATTATTAGCACCACATCACAACTCGTCAGAGACAACTTGAGTATATGCCCAATTTGCTTCGTTCACTAACAAGGACATCTAAAAAATAGTAACTTATTATATATTTCTAGCTCCCTTGTGAATTCAGGTTTCCTCGCAGTTCTCAGCCTTTTTCTCGTGGATTTTGTGATGCTAACTAAAATCCATCTGAATTAATGTTCATTTTTATTATATTTTTAAGTCTACTTATTCTCCTCCCATCTGTCGTTTGTCATTATTTTCGCCAGTCTTTGTATCAGTTTTATTTTTCCTTTTCTCCCTGCATCCCTTAACCTTTTTTATCTTCCCTCTTTCTATACTTTCCCCTCATGTTCGCTTTATCATTTAACTTTCATCATACATCCCTCAGCTTTCTATCTTGTTCACGTTCGCCTTTTTCCTCTGCTAGTTTAATCTGCTCCTTCGTTCACACACATGCCTGCTAACCAACTGAAATTTTCCCACAATCCTTGTCTAACTTATTTATCTATGTATCTACTCTTCTTCACCTCAATTCATCATTCATGCACCTCATCTATCCTGGTCTTACTTAGCCACCACCCAAGCATTCCCTTCATTTTGGACCACATTCACCTCAACAATTTAACTCTCCATTTGTACCTTGTAATTTTTCTTGAAATTTTGCTTTTCAAACGCCTCCATCTATTTCTCTAATCCCTTATCACGTTCGTGGTCCACTCTCACTTTACGGACGCTTTCGTAATTACTTAAGTCGAATGTTTCGCCGCTCTATGCATCTTGGTGGAGGAGCCTGGGCCAGCGAGGTTCCCGACTATCACATTTCGCCTCCTACTCCTATGCAAGCTACCAATTCAACTGAAGCAACTAAAAGGCATGTGGCTGCTTTCGCCAGAGGCTCTTCAACACACATCGACGCCATGGCTACCGATCCATGGACACCAATGATGCCCAGTGGTTGCGAAGAGTACCCCGTTGTTTCTATCCCTCCGGGAAGAGAAAGCACCGTCGATAATTGCGAATGCCATAGCAGTACCGCCGTCCATAATAATAGCAACTTTACCAAATCACAGAATAACAACATTTCAATCAACAGCCAGACAATTACCGATACCTTACCCACTGGTTGGTAATCTACTTTTATTACCACTCCGCTATCATTACCGTTTGAGACTATCCTAGTTTATGATTCAGTAGTGTAATAAACATCCTTGTCATTTTAGGTGTGGCGTGTTATGTCCTTTAAAGCATATTAATTATGAATAAAGGTATGCTCTGTTTTCTGGGATCAATGAAGACTTTAAATGATATTACATATATGAATGCCAGACTATTCAAAATAACATATTTTTGCTGCGAAAACAGAGCATTATGAATAATGCAGATAATTCATTTAGTACCAAGTTAGGGCAGCAGAAGCATAGGTCAATTAATTGTTTTTTTTTTCGCATATTCAGATCGCATTAGTTATATTTAAAGCACAGTTATTTGGATTTACTTTTAAGTTATCTGTTATTTTAATAAATGTAAATAATACATAACAAAGCTATGCACAGACTTTAATTTCTGTCCTAGTATGATGCGAAATCGAAGCAATAGCGTCGATTAATGCGGTACCCAATCTGCGATCCATCCACCTATGCTTCACTTTTTATCGACCCAAGTACCCATTAATTCGGAAGCTTAGAATAAGTGTTTTCCTTCATCACTTGAGTAATTTGGCATGATTCTTTTAGAGCACGTATTGAAAAGTTGTATTCGCTTCTCTTATTTTAGATCCTGAATCAGTGTTGGCTATTCCCCCTTGACTCTCAATTTTACGCAAGATTGTTTTCATTTAATAGGCTAATATTATCGTGTGCTCATTAACAGCTTTGAGTCGGCGTGAAATAATGACCAATTGTTGATTTTAGGAGCTCATAGTTCGCATAGGCACTAAAAACCGGAAAAGTCGGCTGTTGACTGAATCTCAATAACCTGTTTCAAGTACTTATTTCTTCTATTTTGGAGCATGGGTGATGAGTAATAGACCCTAAATGCTTGTCTATCGGTCACATTCACAATTCCCCTATCGGGAGGGACATTTGTTAGATTTCTCGTTTAGATCACCTAAGCTATTTAAACATCGCCTTCCGCTTTTGTTTAAATTTTATTAACGCAAGTTTTGATCACAATATTACTTTGCTCTATAGATGAATGACACATTGACGATCAAAACTTCGAAGGTTTCGCCTAGGATTGAGGACTATTCAAAAAATAAGCAGTCTTCACACCTACATAGACCGAAGGCACTACCTGATAAGAAGCCTCTAAATACGTTATGTATTTTCACCTCTTGATGATTGTACACTCACGTAATTCAAGTTGTTTTTTCCGCCTTTCTTCAAAACACTCACATTTTGTAGAGCCTTTATACGAGAATATGTATCTCGATAGAAGTTTATCAATTATTAGCTTGGCTCTTTGCGTTGCGAAAAAATTTCCAGACGACTTAATGGTTCCGGTCACCCTGGGTTGTATAAGATAGTGAAAGTCTGATAGATTAATTTCCTCGAAATGATATGTAGGCCTCACGGTGACCTTTCTTTTCTAAAGGTATTCTAATCTAGGGTTGAATGCATTTTAGACCTGGTCTGAGTCTCCTTCCAGCGGAGATCGAATCAGAATAGCGCAGCGTTAATTTCGACGTCATTACTAAGTTACAACTTCCACAAGTACCCCTTGCTCGCATGGTAAACATGGATACCAGTAAGACCTACTTTCTATGGATATTGTTTTTACCCCGTTGGAACTTGTGCTGTACCCTTTAGACGAAACTCCTTTCTATATGGCAAGGGCATATCATTT